AAGTCATCCATGAGGGTTGAAATTAACTTCTTCTAAACTCCTATTAATGTTACTATTTTGACTCCTCTTATGAATCACAGATGTCTTTAATGGCATCAAGAATTATAAATTCCTGACTGGATGCAAGGCTCACGCCTGTACCCAACACTTTTAGAGTCACTTGAGGTCAGGAGTTCCAGGCCATCCTGGCCAACATGTGAAACACCATCTCTACTAAAAATACAAAAATCAGCTGGGCATGGTGGCTCATGCTTGTAGTCCCAGCTACTCGGGAGGCTGAGGCAGGAGAATCACTTGAACCCAGGAGATGGAGGTTGCAGTGAACTGAGATTGCGCCACTACACTCCAGCCTGGGTGACCAGGCAAGAGATTCCATCTCAAAAAAAAAAAAATTAATCATTTCCAGAAGGTTTTCCGTTTGCTTTGCCTAGATCCATTAGCTGAATTGTTATCTATGGCATCTATGGCCTGACAAAATGTATTTCTTTCCTTTTCTTTTTGAGACAGAGTCTCGCTCTGTCGCCCAGGCAGGAGTGCAGCGGCCTGATCTTGGCTCACTGCAACCTCTGCCTCCTGGGTTCAAATGACTCTCCTGCCTCAGCCTCCTGAGTAGCTGGGACTATAGGTGCCTGCCCCCACATCTGGCTAATTTTTTGTATTTTTTTTTTTTTGAGACAGAGTTTCGCTTTTTTTTCCCAGGCTGGAGTGCAATGGCGCGATCTCGGCTCACCGCAACCTCCGCCTCCTGGGTTCAGGCAATTCTCCTGCCTCAGCCTCCTGAGTAGCTGGGATTACAGGCACGCACCACGATGCCCAGCTAATATTTTGTATTTTTGGTAGAGACGGGGTTTCACCATGTTGACCAGGATGGTCTCGATCTCTTGACCTCGTGATCCACCCGCCTCGGCCTCCCAAAGTGCTGGGATTACAGGCGTGAGCCACCACGCCCGGCCCTGTATTTTTTTTAGTAGAGACAGGGTTTCACCATGTTGGCCAGGATGGTCTCAATCTCCTGACCTCATGATCCACCCACGTTAGCCTCCCAAAGTGCTAGTGTAATATTGGGATACGGGGCTCAGGCTGCTCTCAGCTCCCCTGAGAGAGTGTTTCTCCAGGTTGTTGGTCCCCTGCCCTCTCAAGAATGAGAGAGGGGACCACAGCACAGTGCTCAGTGAATGCCGGACTCAAAAGTGTTTGTAGAAAGTGATTTATTTAGAGAGAGAGAGAAAAAAAAAAAACAGAGAAGAGAGAGATAAACAGCTAACTCTCACACCAAGTGAGAGAATCCAGAAAGATAGAATCCAGGAGAAGAAAGCAGCTTCCACACTGAGTGGAAGGGAATAGAGAGAGAGATGGCATTTAGGAGGGAAAGACAGGCTTCCATGAGTGTGGAAGGGGACTCCAGAGGGGATATCCAGGAAAGAGAAAGATGGCTTCCACTAAGGGAGTGTTCATGGAAGGGGACCCAAACATGGAGTCCAAAGGGTTGTGGAAGAAGGGGACTTTTAACCTGGGAGGAACCCCCACCTTCTCTAAGACCCCTGGCCAATGAAAGGAGTTCCTTAGAACTTCCACTGAAGTGATTGACTCTTAGTTGCTTCCTGTTAAATAAATAAATAAACCATTAAATCTCCTGGATGGAGAGAGATGGGAGGGAGGCATGGCACTGGGAAGTTCTTGCCCTTAAAACTATGGTCCCTTGTGGACCCGAAAAGAGAACACATTCCCTCACTAGGATTACAGTCGTGAGCCACCACGCCTGGCCATATTTCTTAAATAATAGATTTGAAAGTCTAAATCATTCCTTGATCCATGGGCTGTGAAATGGATATTGTGTTAGGCATGAAAACATTAATTCCCTATATCTCAGTGTTCTTAGGTGACCAGATGCATTGTCAGTGCTCAGTAATATTTCAAAAGGAATTTTTTATGAGCAATCCATCTCAATAGTGGGCTCATTATATTTAGTAAACCATGCCATAAACAAACGTGCTGTCATTCAAGCTCTGTTGCTTCATTTATAGCTTTGGCATAATTCATAAGCACCCCAGAATTTTCCAAATAGCAAATGAGCATTGGCTTCAACTTAAAGTCTCCAACTGCATTAGCCCCTAACAAAAGAGTCAGCCTGTTCTTTGAAGCTTTGGAGCCAGGCATAGACTTTTCCTCTCTAGCTATGAAATTCTTAGATGGTATCTTCTTCTAATAGAAGGCTCTTTTGTCTACATTGAAAATATGTTGTTAGTGTGACCGCCTTCATCAATGATCTTAGATCCTCTGGATAACTTGCTGTGACTTTTCTACATCAGCACTTGCTGCTTCACCATACACTTTTATGTTCTGGAGGTGGCTTCTTTCGCTAAACTTCAGGAACAACCTCAGCTAGCTACTAATTTTTCTTTTGCAGCTTTGCCGCCTCTCTCAGTCTTCATAGAATTGAAGAAAGTTAGAACCTTGCTCTAACTTTGGATTAGACTTTGGATGAAGAGAATATTGTGGCTGGTTTGACCTTCTATTCAGACCACTAAAACATCCTTTATATCAGCAATAAGGCTGTTTAGCGTTCTTATCACTTGTGTATTCATTGGAATAGCTCTTTTAATTTCCTTCAGGAACTTTTCCTTTGCATTTATAACTTGGCTGACTGGTACAAGAGGCCTAGTTTTTAGCCTGTCTTGACTTTTGACGTGCCTTTCTCATTGGGCTTAATCACTTCCAACTTTTGATTTAAAGTGAGAGATGTGTAACTCTTGCTTTCACTTGGACACTTAGAGACCATTGTAGAGTTATTGTTTATCTTATATTGGTACAGTCCATGGCACTCCAAAACAAAAACAACAGTAATATCAAAGATCACTGGTCACAGATCATCATAACATATAATAATAATGGAAACATTTGAAATATTGTGGTGATTACTAAAATGAGACACATGTGAGTACATGCTATTGGAAAAATGGTGCTGATAGACTTGCTCAACACAGGGTTGTCACAAACCTTCAATTTGTAGAAAATGCAATAGCTACAAAGCTCAAAACAATTAAAGCACAATAAAATAAGGTATGCTTGTATGCCAAAGGCACTGATTGGAGGAATCCCCCATTTTTGGACTTCGATATGTTTCAACCACCATTTTTGTGCATACATCTTTCACCATAGTAAAAATTCCTAGGTATAAAATTTCAAGATTAAAGATATGCACATTTCAAAGATTTTGGAAAATTTGAAATTTCCCTATGGAAAAGCTGTGCCCACATACACTATCAATGTTTGAGGGCACACATGCATCATCCATTACTGGATACGTCTAGTAACTCCAGCCTATTGGTCACATTATTAAAGTTCTCCAGCATTAAGTTCTGTCTACTTGGTTTACCACATTGACTGATGGTATGTCAAAACATCCTACTATTTTCTTTCTGCTTACGTTTATATTACTAATAGTGTATGCTATTTGCATAGAAAGTATAATGGTTGTTATATTTTCACGTCATCAATATTAAATGGCCCTATGTATTCTATGTAACATGTTTTGGCTTGAATTTTTTATATGTAGGTGTTCAGTAAATGTTGCTGAAGTAATGAATGTCACTGCCTAGCGGAGTTCCTGGCATGAGGCACATCTGAAATAAATCATGCCTGCCTTTCAGAATCCGTTGCCATTATGAGACTACTGGGCTGTCTCCTTTCATAATTGGCTCTTTGAAAACTGCCCTCATTTCAAACATGATTTTCTAATTCTCATATGAGTGGCTCCTCTTCCCTTGTGTTCTTTTATTCTATTTATTATTATTCTTATTTATCGGACCAAAAGGTGAGACAAGATTAACCTCCATCCTGCTTTCCCAGCCTGAAATCTGAGGCTTTGGTGGCTGCTTAGAAACCAGAAATAAAGGCGCTGTAGTGGTGGGTCTTCTAATGTGTTGTGCATGAGAATGATGCAGGGAGCTTGTTAAAGTTGAGTCCTGGGCCTTCCCGTTGTAGAATGTGATTCGGTCCGTTGAGAGGCCCTTGAATCTGTTTTTCTTGTTGTTGTCTTTTTTTTTTTTTTTTGAGATGGAGTCTCATTCTGTCACCCAGGCTGGAGTGCAGTGGCATGATCTCAGCTCACTGCAATCTCTGCCCCCTGGTTTCAAGCGATTCTTCTGCCTCAGCCTCCCGAGCAGCTGGGATTACAGACACCTGCCACCATGCCTGGCTAATTTTTGTATTTTTAGTAGAGACAGGGTTTCACCATCTTGGCCAGGCTGGTCATGAACTCCTGACCTTGTGATCCACCCGCCTCAGCCTCCCAAAGTGCTGGGATTACAGGTGTGAGCCACCGTGCCCAGATAATTTTTTGTATTTTTAACAGAGATGGGTTTTCACTATGCTGGCCAGGCTGATCTTGAATTCCTGACCTCAAGTGACCTTCCCATCTTGACCTCCTAAAGTGCTGGGGTTACAGGCCTGACCCATCCTGGCTGGATCTCAGGATCTACAAATGTTCCACATTACTGAGAGTCAGAATGCCATTAAAGCTGGGGTCACGCCATGGCTGTAGTGTGTTGGCCAGGATAGGGAGTAAAGCTTGGCCTGAGTCCATTGAAGTTGGGGTCAGTCCGTGGGTAGGGTTGGAGTTCTACAGAGGGCTGGGTTAGGGGTCAGTCCCTGGGCAGGGTTAAGGGTGAGTGCATGACCACCTTTGGAAAGAATCTAAAGCCTGGGTTTGGGGTTGGGTTTGGACAAGGCTGGAGAACACTGTGAGGGTGGGTTTTGGGGTCAATCTAAGGCCAGGGTTAGAAGTTAGACTGTCATTGTGCATAAAACCTGACCCCTAGTGATGTCATCAACCTAACAAGCCGTGACCACACAGGACCCAGCCACTCAAAAGATGAAACCCACTATGGGTCTAGAAAGCTCTTTCACTCGAGGCAGGAGTGGGGAGATGGAGGACAAGGGAAGCAGGGACTCCCCTCCCCTCAGGGATCTGTGCAGAAAGCGAAGGCAGGCACAGGAAATAGAACAAAACAGTAACTTTAATGGGGCAGCCCTGAGCCGTATCCTTTAAACCTTCCCTTCAGTAGCCTGTGCGCGAGGAGGGTGGGGTGACTGCTACAGGCAAGTCGATGTCCTCCCTACTCCTGGCGATCCCACTTCTCACCCCTTCCTCTCCAGCTGCTGCGGTCTCCGTCGCCGAGCTGGGTCCAGGTAAGCTCCCAGGAAGAGCAGGGGAGCCCCTTAGCGGCCCTTTGGTTGAGGGGAACTATCCTGGATGGAGACACCGCAGTCCTCGGAGCTGGGCAAGGACCTGATTCTGGGGGTGTGGACCGAGCCAGGGACTGCCCCCTAAGGCCCAGCGCCAGGAGCTGCAAGGCCGGCCCGAGGTGTTGGACACTACTTTGGGGGGCAGGCCAGGTCTCTGCACGGGGCTTTTGGGCTCTGGAAAGCAGTCCATTTTCCTGACCCGGATGGAGTGGGAGGAGGCGGCTCAGTCCCGGGCCTCGGCTCGTACGGCTCCCTGTTCCACATTCTCCCACGCTCACCCATCCCAAGGAAGGAGGGCACTCGGGGCCCAAGAGGCTCGTGCGAGCAGCGGGCTCCACCCTCCCAAACGCCCCTCCGTTAGTGGGTGGGTCGGGCGCGGCATCGGAGCTCTGGAGGGTACGGGGCGTCCCCGCGCGGCCTGAGCCACAGCTCATCGCTGCTTACGCTCCGCCTGCTGGAGCCGCCGGGAGAGGTCTGCGATGCGCACGTTCTTGAGCTGGAGTAGGTGCTCCAGGCGCCTCACCTTCATCTGCAGGACCTAAACCGCGCCGCGCAGGGGTCAAGTCCGGCGGCCTGCTCCCTCCTGCTCGGCCTCTACTGGCCATGAGACCCTACCCGCAGCCTTCCTAGACCCCTCACCTGTACGGTCTCCTGCGAGGCCAATAGCTCCTGCTCCTTTTCGGCGATCTGGAGGACGAACCTTGGGTCGTCCTGCAACGCCTGGTTATACGCTGGAGGCCGACCCGCGGGCGGAGGGTCCCCTCTAGGGTGGGAAGCAGCTTAGCCAAGGCCTGGACCTCGGGCCCTACACTCACCCTTCCGGTGCCCTCGACCAGGCCATCCCTTCTCCCCTCTAGCCCATTTTCTGCCTCCCCATTGCCTCAGGCTCCACCTGCCGCTGCTCTCCAACCCCAGCCTGTGTGCAGCTTGGTGAAGTCGGGAACTCCAGCTTCTTTACCTGAGCTGACCCCCTCCCTGGGGGTCCAGGGCACCTTCACCTCGGGCTTTCTGTGATAAACCTGAGACAAGGCAAATGGAGGAGTGACTGTGCTGGAGTCTCATTCTCCTGCTTCCCCCTCCCAGTTCCACTCTCACAAGCAACAGGAAGAAGAACAGAAGGAAAGCTCCACCAGAGAAGGAGAAATGGGAAAGGCCACCTTACCCACATCCACGTAGCCACTGCCATCCTGGGGAGCCAGCTCCTGAAAGAACCCCGCGGGTCCACCGTGAGCCCGGCCTCAGTCATCCCCAAGCAGCCCTCTGTCCTTTCCACAGGCCCCCAGACCAGGCTCTATTAGCCAAGCATCCCTCCCCCACACTTATCACCCAGGCACCCAGGCACCCAGGCCGGGCTTTCTAATGTCTGGGAAGCAATCCCCACCCAGCCCCCGGAGCAGTGAGAGAAGCTCGAGTGGGGTGGCACCTGTAAGGAGCCCACGCCCTGCTTCCTGTGCCTCTGCCGCTCCTCCAAGCGCTGCCTCAGCGGGATAAGCACCAGCTCCACCACTCCAGGGACACACTGAGCGATCTTGCGCATCATGTCATCTGGTACTGAAAAGTTCAGCTTGTTCAGTACCTTCCTGAGGGGTAGACACAGGGATAGTGGATTGGGTCCTGGGGAAATGAGGTGAGGGGTGGGGGAGAGGGAAGGGGGCATGGTGGTGGCAGTCCCAAGTTCACAGCCCTGGGAGAATGGAAGGACATTGCATCTGAGCTTCCTTGTGTGGGTGTCCTGAGGTTCCTTCCTTGCCTCCTTCCGAATAGAAATCTTTTTTTTTTTTTTTCGAGACAGAGTTTCACTCTTGTTGCCCAGGCTGAAGTGAATGGCACAACCTCAGCTCACCACAACCTCCACCTCCCAGGTTCAAGCAATTCTTCTGCCTCAGCCTCCCAAGTAGCTGGGATTATAGGCATGTGCCACCATGCCTAGCTTATTTTGCATCTTTAATAGAGATGGGGTTTCTCCATGTTGGTCAGGCTGGTCTCAAACTCCTGACCTCAGGTGATCCACCTGCCTCAGCCTCCCAAAATGCTGGGATTACATGTGTGAGCCAATGTGCCTGGCCAGAAGAGTCTCTTAATTGTGTAATCAGATGGGTTGTGTCTGTTTTAACCTCCCCCACTCTGCCACCAATACAATCTCAGCTTGAGCAACCAAGACCACAGGAGATGATGGGGCTGGGGTAGCCCTTCCTGGGAACCTAGGGTGGGGGCTAGATATTCCCAATCCTGCACCCAGGTATTCTGCTACCTGTTCAGATGACCCCAGTTGCTGAGCTTCTGCTGGATAGAGTTGGCAGGGACATAATTGTGCATCTCCACCATCTTGGGGAAGTAAAACTTGATGACCTCTGCAACTAGGACTGAGAGAGTGGGGAGCAGACATGGAAGGTGGGGGCATGGGTAAGGAAGGAGAAGGGGAAAGAAGGTGGGGGTGGGAGAATCAGGCATGGCAGAGTGGTGGAACCCAGTGTAGGGGTGGAGATGCAGAAAGGGGAAGAATGATAGGGAGGGGGACAAAGACATTGAGATTAGTGATAGGTAGAAGAGACTAAGTCTCCAGCATACCTCAGAGAAGCTGCATCCTTCCCCAATTAATTTAGGAATGGGAATACTGAGTCTCCAGTCCTCTCGTTGAGAATGAATCAGCCAGGTATGGTGGCTCATGCCTGTAATCCCAATACTTTGGGAGGCCGAGGCAGGTGAATCACCTGAGGCCAGGAGTTTGAGACCAGCCTGGCCAATATGGTGAAACCCTGTCTCTACTAAAAATACAAAAATTATCCAGGCATGGTGGTGCATGTAATACCAGCTACTCAGGTGGCTGAGGCAGGAGAATTGCTTTAACCCTTTAACCTGGGAGGCAGAGGTTGCAGTAAGCTGAGATTGCACCACTGCACTCCAGCCTGGGTGATAAGAGCGAGACTCTGTCTCAAAAAAAAAAAAAAAAAAAAAAAAAAAAAAAAAAAAAAAAAAAAAAAAAAAAAAAATTAAATGCTGCTAAATAGCTATTAGAAGCTATTACTTTCAATTTTTTCTTCAAATATTTCCTCCATATTATACACACACACACACACATAAATATTCACATATATTACCTGCGACAACAGGAAGTTGATAAATACCTAAATATATCCACACATGAACACATATATACTATATATGCACACATATGTACGCATCTAGATGTTATTTATTGACTTTTATTGTAGGCGAAGTTTTTTGTTAGTTTATTTGCTTTTACCTCTTTCCTTTTTCCTACTCCCTCTTCGTCCTGATATGATTACATGACAGTTTTGGTTCAATCTGTACTCAGTGGTTTTACCATTTTGACTATGCAAATATTGTTCACTGCTGAATGAAACTGAATGCTGTGATTACATTTTCTTTCTTAGAGAGGCAGTTCAGAGCCTAACAGGCTGCTTGGATCCCATTCTGGCACCTCAGGTCAGTCTTCTATGTTTCCCCTTCTGAATAATGGAGATATCAATGGCAAGATACCAACTTGCTAAGGTGATAGTTACAATTAAATGAGTCAATATGTGTGAAGGGCTTAGAACATTAAGTGATATGACAGAAGTAGTCAATAAAATATTTAAAAAAACAAAATAACTATGATCATTACTATCTTTTTTCTTTACCTTGGAGTTAACATTGCCTCATTAAAATTTTTGCTTTATTTCTTATAATCTCTTAGTCTTCAGACATCCTTCAACAATTACATAAAACACCACTTACTACACTGTTCTTCACATTCAAATCTATCAGGTAGCCAATCACAGTTGGGAAAATGATAAGGAATACTGGTAATCATGATAAATCAAAGGAGATACCCATCCAGAGTTCCTCTGTCCACCTAATGTTATTAAGACTGCTTCCCTTTTGCCTGCTGCACAGCTGACCGAAGGTATCTTGGCTTGGTGCCCTCCTGTTAGAGACCCTTACTTCCTGAACACTGCTTTTCTCTTACAAAACAGCCCCTAGTAGTTTCTTGAGAGGATTTCAATGAAGGTAAATGTATGTATGTTTTTTGAAATTTTGCTGGCCAAAAAATGCCATTATTGTACTCTTCTGTATGATAGATAGTTTGTCTGGATATAGAACTCTAGGTTGAAGATCCTTTTCTCTCAGATTTTCAAAGACATTTTTGTCTTCTAGCCTGCAGTGTTGTTGTTCAGAATATCTGCTACCTTCTTGTTTCAGGCCTTTGCCTAAGATATGATTTTCTCTCTGGAAACACTTAGCATCTTTATCTCCAGAGTTTTCTGAAATGTCATGATTTTGCTGGTGTGAGTCTCTTCCCCACATATCCCTCCCATGCATTGTGATGGGCATGAGGACCCAGGAATCTGGAAGCAAATATCTTTTAGTTCTAGAAAACGTCCTTGCATTTTTTACTCCTTGATCATTTCCTTTTCCACTAATTTACTTATTCTTCCTTTTGGAAACCTATTAATTGGATGTTGGCCTTCCCAAACAGATTCCAGTATTTCCATATCTTTCTCACCTTTTTCTTCTGCTTTCCAGGGGCTATCCACAGTTTTATCTTTGAAACATTTTACTGAATATTTTCTTAGCTGTTTTAATTTCCAAGATGATAGTTTCACTCATTAGCAGCATGACATTTCACTTTATAAATAGAACATAATTTACTTAAATCATCTCTTTATATTGTACATGTAGACGGCTTACAGATTATGATGCAATAAACATGCCTGTTTCATATCTCTGATTCAATTCAATTTTCCAAAACTGCAGTACTGAAACAAAAATAAGAATATTTCAAGATTCTTAATATGTAGCATATTACCAAAATGCTTTCCCAAATTTTGCATGCATCTGTATCACCATGCAGACAGTAGTATTATCATTTAATATTTGCTTATATGATAGATGTAATTTCATCATTGATGTTGATGTTTTGTTTTGATTTATTTTATTGCTATGGAGGTTAAACTCTTTCTTGGATTTATTTGTGTGTTTTTGTCCTTTTTGCACCTATTTATTGCATTTTGATATTTTTAATAGATTTGCTTGAAGTGTTAAATATTAGGCATGTTAATATTTTGTTGGAAACATTTGATGCAAATGTCTCATAGGTATATGGATTTTGTTTTTATATTATTTTATAATATTTACAAAATGTTATTTTTCATCATAGAATTTATCAATATTTTTCTCTGCTATCTAAATATAATCATCAAAACCAAAGAACAAAGACAAGGAAGAAAAAGTAATTGCCATAAAGACATAATAAAGATTTAAAAAGTAATATTCTTACTGTCTAGAGAGTATGTTCAAGTCAATAAGAAAAATTGTACACCACCATTGGAAAACTTGAGCATAAGAAAACTTACGGAAAAGACAAGTAGTTAATAAGCATCTGAAGGTGCTTATTAGTCATCTAAGGAAAGTAAATTAAAATGTAACACCAATTTTTGCCCATGAAATTAAAAAAGATTTTAACAAAATAATGTTTGCTAAGAGTGAAGTGAGATTGGAATTCTCATGCTAATAAGCATGTAAATGGGTTTAATCTTCCTGAAATTAATTTTATAATATACATCTAAAATCTTTTAAAAATCCCGTAGCTTTTTGTATAGGAGTTACACTTTCCTAACTCTGTTCCAAGTAAATAATCAGATGACAGCACAACGACCACAAAGATACTTACCACAGACTCATTTATGACCAAATAAATTAAAACCTCATGAATTTCTAGCAACATAATGGTTTAAAAATTCGTGGCACATATGATATAATATTGTTCCATCGTGAACATGATACAGAAAACTTTAAATGTTATAAAAATACTTGTAATGTTTAGTAAAAAGGAACATAAAGCTATAGCATAGTAAGATTTCAACCATCTAACATGTAAATCGAATTATAGCATTAGTGGGGCGTGTGTGTGTGTGTGTGTGTGTCTGTGTCTCTGTGTGTGTGTGTCCGTGTCTCTCTCTGTGTGTGTGTGTGTGTGTGTGTGTGTGTGTGTGTGTGTGTATGTAAGGAGACAGATATTTAGAGAAAGAAGAAATAGTGACTACCACAAAGTTAGTGAATTATGAGTGATTTTTCTTTCTTTTTGTACTTCTACTTTTCTAAAATGTGCATTTAAAACACCTTTAGAAAAGAATTAAATGTATGACTTCCTATTTTTCCTAACAAGTCTAGTAAAAGAGAAGTTACTATGTCAAAATAATTTATTAATATTAGGTTTTCCTAAAGCTCCTAATCATTAAAACTTCTGCTTTGATCTATCCAGAATACATCTTCTATCTCNTTAGCTATTATTTCTTTCTAGAGTCTCATCCCTTTAAAAGCATTTTTTTTCCTACTGTAGCTTCTGTGCTTATAAAGACACCAGACACAAGCTAATCATACAGCAAACATTTGTTGAATGAATTAAACATAACCTAGGTCTTCCATATCTTAGATGTGTTTTTCAGTCTCTCTGTCTTGGTTAAACTTCTGTATTTCCATTTGTCAATATTCTTAAGTTGTGACTTCAAAGAGATTAAATGTGGTCTGATTAATATTTATCTCTGGATAATATATCATGAATACCACCTGGAATTGCATTAATTTATTTGGCAGTCATATCATACTGCAGGACAATATTGACCTCTCTGAATGCTAAAACTGCTATATCGTTTATGGATGTTTCTGTCCACTCATGACTCTCCACACTTGCATTTGTTCAGTTGTTTGTGGAGCTTTTATGGATCATGTACAAGACCTTACATAAACCTCATTAAATTAAATTTTTTAGATATAAATATAAATGGTTTTGGATCATGATTTTGTCTTTTATGTATTCATGTCTCTTTTCAATTTCACATCATACACAAATTTAATTAGCAAGCCCTCTATGTGATCATCTAAGCAATGGGCAGGTTTCTATAGTTATAAGAAAGGTACTTCTAAGCTGCAATTGAGTCATTTGTCATTTGGAGCAAATTTCACCAATAAATTACTAATCTCTACATTGTCTACCCTATACTTTTCTGTTTTATTCATTACAAAATCACAGGAGTCATGCCGTAAGTCTTGCTGCGGCTGACATGTACAATTACTGCATAGCTATGGAGGATGCAATCCAGTTTATCCCAATGGTCAGTCTCTGCCTCTTTAGGAATCAAATATCATTGGAAAATCACATTCTAATTCCATTTTAAGGAAGATAACTATTTTCCTGGTTGCTCCACAATCTGCCTAGTAACCCCAGTCCTGATCTTTCAGTGGAGGCAGCACTCTGCATTATCTCCTCTGGGCATCTCCTGCCAATTCAGCTCTCAAAATGTTGGGTTCTCTAGGGGTCTTTCTACAAGCTCGATTCTTTTCTTTTCCTTCATACCCCAAATCTAATTTAGTAGTACGCCCCTTCAGATCACCTTCAAAATACATTACAAATATGACCATGGAATACCACTAGGCTGTTCTGACTCGTGCAAACCACCTCTTCCCCAACCTGAAGAAACACAGTAGCCTCATAGGCAGTCTCCTAGATGTTCTCTTACCACTCCGCCACTCCGACCCCAAGTTCATCAGCCACACAATGGCAATGAGATAAAACTTTATTTTCTGCAGAAAATAAAAATCTAAAGTAATTACCATGTTCTTCAAAGCCCTATGTGATCATTCCTTAACTATTAATAAAAAATTACCTTCCTACTCTCCTCCCTCTTGTCCCATGCTCTTGTTAGAGAGATCATCTCTCTGCTCCTCAACTCTGCTAAGCATCTTTTCTTTCTCAGGACTTTTGCACTGTGTTTCTTTCTG